CTTTTGTTCCATATGTTGTAATAATGTTCTTTTCTATCATCGGAATGATCATATTATTTGTCAAACGGGTCAACATCTTTCCAAATGGTCGTAACATCCTACTAAATATGTACATTCTCTGTTTCACAACTGCATTATTGTCGCTAATTTACGCATATACCAAAGCTATCCAATATATTTTCATTGCATTAGATGTTGTTATTGTTGTTGCTGCATACTTGATCTTCAAACAAGTGTTTTTGCGTCAAAATAAGAAAGTGGTCGATAATTTATATTCAAAATTCGATGATTTGATAGAACATATATCATCCCCAAAGCAGTGTATTGATTATACGCGTGTTGGTTTGATCTACAACACCCCTTGTGTATATAATCATACTCTTATCACCTGGGGCATGTCCAGATGGCCTGCCGATCAGAAATTACTGTTAGCTAGTGGCTTTATATACTATGTTCTCAATGTGCAGTACAAAGATATCCTTGAAACAATATCAAATGCAGTGGATCTCCAGCCACTTGATAGAACAGATACAATCTTCTTTTTCCAGATATTTAAGCGTCTTCCAACGCGTGAGGCTCATCTTTCTCGTTCATTGGAGTCAGTCCGTCGCATGTATAATATTCCGAAATCATCTCAACGACTTTTCTGGGAAAGTTGTCAGCAGAGACAATGGGATGAAGCTCTAATGCGTGCTTACAACCTTAATGAAGACCTAGATCACATCAACGCCGTATTCACGAGTTTAATTTTCGACAATCCTTCTTCTGACATCGTGATGCAAGAGTTCATCAAGTTTGCAGACACTATCCAAGGCAACCACATCATCGCCGCTCATGCACAGGCCGAACTGAACAGAAGACAGATCGCGAGAGCTGAAGATAAAGAGACAACAACATGCAAACTCAGGAAACTGGTTCTCAACAACAATTGTCACGTTTATCAAGTGTCAGATCTTCAGTTTACTTGTCAGAATTTAGTGAAGGTGGTACAGTGGAAGACAGAGTTAGTGCTGGTCTGCAGCATGCTTTTCTTGCGCGCCCTATCTTTTGGCCCAAGTATTTCTTCATTTTCATAACAATTATTTCAGTTTTATCATTTGCAGCAGTTGTTTCCGCTTTTGCTGTTACAGAAAGTGTTTCCACATCAATGGATAACCAAGTCGAACTGAGTAAAGAGATACACGACATGGCACACAAGATCTCTCTCATGTTCGGTGTCTCTATGTTGTTCACAACACACAATGTTTCATCAGAAGACACAATCACTGGCCAACCATTTGATTCTGCTACTTCTAGAAGAAATTTGTCACTTTTATCTCAACAATTTGACAAATTACTTAGTCAGTCATTTAGCAGGCATTCCTACATGCCGAACAACATCCTTTTGAAGTGGGTTGATGATACAGTTCAAACAGACAACACTGACACAGACATCACAGCTCAAACTAAAAATGACACTGTTCCGACAAATCTGAGTTTGATGACAGCGATAAGAATCTACCAGTTGAGAGCGATGACACTGGCATACACTCCTTCAAATGATCTCGGAACATTAAAAGATCCATCTCCTGAAGCAATTCTTGTTACATATCTCTATCCTGCAACAGCTTCTGTTTCAAAGACAATGATCAAAGAGATCTCCAAGGCATTGGACAGCGATCAGAAAACAAATGATTTGATGATTTACTCTGTTTTGGCTTGTATATTGGGTGTTTCTATTATTTTGACTGTTATTTTTATACCTGTGACATTAATTGGATACAAAAGAGAGTATGACTTCATGATCGCAATCATCCAATCAATTCCTCCAAAAGTCTGCAAGAAAATGATGGCATTGGATGGAAAATTACAAGCAGGATTTGCTTCTTCTGAGATTTCTTTCGATTCAAACTCAAAGAAAATCTCAAAGAAATACTACAAGTTCTGCCAGATTTCTATGCTTTATGTTGTTAGCTGCGTAATTGTTCCTCTTCCTTTGATAATTTCTGTTGTCGCATTCAAGAAATTCCAGAGTTCTTCGGAATTCATTTGCACTGTATTGCAACTAAGTACTGATTTCGTTGCTGACTTTGGTTTCTTGTGTCTTTACTCATATAGAATTGTATCTGGATTTCCTTCGCCTTACACAAGACAGGAAGAACTGGATTTGTTGTATCAGAGCGGTGTTTCAACAACATCTTCCTACAGAGAGTTATTCTTTGGAGGAACAGATGCTTTCCCTGTCGGAATCATGAAGAAATATCCGAATTTGATGGAGAAAATATCAATTCAGAAATGCTCTGTCATTTTAGGTGAAGGAAACTTCAATGTCAGCTGCATGTCTTTCCACGACATGGTCTTCTTTATATTCGATCAGATCAACAGAATCTGCGGAATCAGAGATGAAGATGTTCCTACTAAATTCAACTCAAACTGGTGGAGAAAGTATTATCCAGTTGTTAACAGAGCACTGATGGAAGGAATCACTGAATACTTCCAAATGCTGACAACAATTTCTAATGACTTCGAACAGCAAAGAAAAATTTTATTAATTTCAAGTTTAGTTTTAGGAATAATCTTCTTCATTGCAATTGAAGTCATCGCTTTCTCTTACATGAAACTCGCAATGGATCCACACTTAAGAAGAGTTCTGAAACCACTGACAATGCTTCCTCCTGAATGTCTCACTGAATGTCAGTTGTTGTATAGGTATCTGCAAGGAGATTACGATTTCCCATCACGACAGTTGTCTCGTGAAAAGAAAGGAAAGAAGACAGAATCTGCAGTTCCTTTGATTGAATTCATCACTGAAGGGGTTTTAGTTATGACTCCAGATGGAACAATCATCGCTTCAAACAAGAAATACCACGAGATGATGTCGAACACAGCTGAAGAAACACTTGGATTGAACATAAAGAACAGAATGCCACAATCCCTACAGCCTTTGTTTGATGTTCTCCAAGTTGTTAAATCAGGCGGACAATACCAACCATCCACAACAATAGAAACAGTGATTTTCACTGAAGACGACAGAGATCTTCAAGTCAGAATCACTTTAGTTGTCCAGCAATTGCAGGAACACTCAAGTAAACCAACTTGCGCTTTCATTATCTATGACAGAAGTGATTTAATTAAAGCGCAAGCTCAATTAAGAAAAGAAAAGGCAAATGTTGAACAATTATTGGATTCTATTTTACCACATAATATTGCTGTTTCTTTGTTGAATGGACAGACAGAAATAACATTTGAAGCTGCAAAAGGTTTGGTTCTGTTCTCTGATTTGGTTTCATTCACTCCAATGTGTTCGCAAATGTCTGCAAAACAGATTATGACTGTTTTGAATTTGCTGTTCACTAACTTCGATAACGAATTGGCCAAATACCAGAGATTGACTAAACTGAAGACAATTGGAGATGCTTATGTCTGCGCAACAGGAATATTCGAAGGGGATGGTCCAATTGAAGAAGCAGCATGTGAAATTGTTCAGTTTGGAATAAGAATGCAGGAAATTGTTCCGATGCTGAATAAGAAACACAATTTGTCACTGAGACAAAGAGTTGGAATTCACTGCGGCGGTCCATTGATTTGCGGCGTTTTAGGAAAAGAGAAGCCTCTGTTCGAAGTCATTGGGCAAACTGTGGAATTGGCTGAAGACATGGAAACTTACTGCCTGCCAGAGAAAGTCCACATCTCACAGCCTGTCGTAGATTTGGTAGCCAAACTAAAGCTGAACTTGGAAGAAAGAACTGGAGTGACAATGCACGGAATTGAAGGAAAAACTTGGACAGTTGTTATAGAAAAGCAATAACTTTTATTTATAGATTTTTTATTTTATTTTATTTTTATGGAAGTAAAAAATGTTTTCATTTTATTAGCTTATGATATAATGTATTTACTTGTGCATGTATTCAAGATATCATTATTGTTATTCGAATGAAATTGCATTGAGATCGAGACAAAGATAGAACTTCACCAGTATCTCTGTATCTGGTTCTGTAAGACATGTCTTCATCGATTTCTGAGATTGTTAGTACTGCATTGATATCTTCTTCGAATCAGGGTAATTTCTGCCATAGAATAGATCGACATCAAGGACGTAGTTTATTGACATTATGATCTTCTTTTCGTACATTGCCTATAGTTGTGGGTATGTTTGATCTGTGCAAAATGATCTGCGTATGATGTCTTTCATTCATAGTAGACAACGATTCTAGCATATCTTGAGATCATGAATGGTGGCATTGTTGTGTTAACAAAAAATTATGAATACAAAACTACTTTTTGACACTTTTGTAAATATAAAGAGCTACACAATAGAGGCATATGCCTTTTCTCCTGACCAATTACGAACTGCAGCCAAATTTCCAACAAGAACGATATAGTCATGAACTTCACCTAATTTCTCGAATATTTTGGAAGTGTTTTGAAATGAATTTATTGTGATTTCATCCATTGTAATTGCACATCCAGAGCAAGCAAGACGGTCTTGAAGAGTGACTTTGAAGGTTGCGTAGTGATCAGCCTTGATATGTCTACATTCCTTGATGTCGCAAATTCTATACTCATAAAATCTCTGAAAATTCTGCACGATTGTTAATAATAATCCATATCTTTGTAGATGGAAAATGATTCGTGTATTCATATTAAAGCTTCTTGTGGCTGAACTTTTGAAGATTATATAGTTTTTGTGTCAAATAAAAAAAATCTAAAATAAAAACGTATCGTTTTGATAAATTCATGGTAATTATTAATAGTTTATAACAAATAATAACGGTTTTATAGCAGTCAAGCATTACAATATCATTGCTTAAAGAATCATTATTGGAATTGAAGAATTCAATAGGATTTTGGTATAAAATTATTTAAATTTGAGAATACTTAAATTTGTTTCGACTTCAATGATCAAGATCTTGATGTGAATAAATTATGAAGAAATTATCGATTTCATTGATAAATTTCGATCGGATATTAAGGCATATCAACTTGTGTTGATAATTTATTGTTGCAAAGTATGAGCGCTCTTATGATTTTTTGATATTTTCTTTATTATCTGATTCTGTTTTGAAAAACTGGTTATAGTAGCTGCTTTTTGTTTTGATGAAAAATATGGGGATGGGTCTAATATTTGTTGCTTTGCAACACAGTCAAATATGAAGTCTGGTCGGACAACGACAACTTTTCTTTTTTCTATTGCTTTGTCAAGCTGGTTCCGTTTACTATGACAAATATGTTCGGCAATTACGTGTGTAACAGATGTGCAAACCATCATTACAGTTCTTCCTCCATTTTTTTCAATCAATTTTGTCATAGCATATCTGGATGATTCACCTCGCCCAACATAACCTAAAATGAAAAATACGCAGTCTTTGAAAAGATTTGTTTCTGCGGGAGCCATTTGGGTGTCTAATTTTTTACTTCTTTGGTGATAATAATTCGATACATCATCTAAATCCTTAAATTCATTACTTCTATGCTCCATTACTCTTTTATTTCCTTCGTTCTTCTTATCCTCTTCTTGTTTTTTCTCCTGGATGAACTTTTTTTGCATAAAAAAAATCTCCAAGAAATAAATTTATCCCCCTAAATCGATATTTAATTAATTGAAAATCAATTCGTTGTTGAAATATATTTTAAATTTAAAATAAGCATCATATGCACAAACGGTATTATGGGTTAAAATCTGCTAACGTAAAAATTCATCACATCCTTTCAAAAAATTGCGGTTTTTCTCAAATGAAAAGTTCATTTTGACTTTTAAAAATCATTCTTTATATTCACATATACTCCAAAATTTTTAATTGCAGATTTCAATTCGGATTAAAAAGTGACACAATGATGTTTTCTTGATTATTGCTGAAAGGATGGGCAAATTGTCGCGACCTCCAGTGTATGAAGTTCACGACCAAAGTCAAGTTTCAAATTCAGACGATTGCTTTTTCCGCTATTTTAATGATGGAGTTCTAGATTTAATCGGAATTGCCAAAAAATATAGTGATTATGGTGTAACGGTTGAAGATATTAAGAAAGCAAACCCCGATATTCTGCTTTCGATGCCAGTTGGACTCGTTCTTAAAATACCATATCAATGTCCAAAAATTATGGATAAAAAATTCTACATGGACTCACAAATTTTCAAATCATCTGCAATTCCTAAGAATGGATCACTACTTCTCAGCTTTTGCTACATGGACATTTACAGAAGGAGATATCCACACAGATGTGAAGAATACTTTAATTACAACAGAGGCTTTGACAAAGACGCTAACTTGGTTAGCTGGAAGCAAGCCATGGATGCTGCTTACCTTGAACCGATCGAAAAGCCAAGTAAAAGACTTCGATCTGATCAGTACGAATTAAGAAAATACAATATTGATGGTAAGATCCACTATGCAGTTCTCGATCCAAATGGAGAATTATACGATCCAGGTCGTAACCTCGTTAAAGATAGCTACCCTTATGAATCAAGATACTTCCAACAGGATTAAATGATTCTTTCATTTGAATTTCGATAAACGTTTTAATTTTTTGTTAAGGGTGCGCCCGGGAGGATCATGTAAACTTCAGAATTTAGAACCTTAATTTTTAAGCAATAACTTGGTACCTAAATAGGTAGGAAAACTCTAAAAATATCAAAAAATACAACTTGGCTCCATAATAATCCTGTCATGGTGGCTGTTTGTATCCCCTAGTATTTTCCTCTTGAATCTCTTTTTCTGTCGAAATTAAATTCAAATCTCAGAAGTAGAAGTGAATAATCGACTTATTACTGCTATTATACGAATAAATAAATTCATTATATTATTTTTATTTACATAATATCTGTTTGAAGTCCATAATTCTATAAATTTTTCTTCAAAAACATTACAATCTTGATAGTTTTGATACTGTTTAATATGTTTTTGGCACCTTATTTAGTATTTACTACGTATAGAGTCGATCTGAACTTAATTTTCGGAAATTTAAAATATTTATTATAAGTAAAATCTGATTTGAAATTTATGTTTAACTACTCATATCTTGCATTATCCGGAGTAGCTTTTGTAAAAATTCATCAAAAAAATTTTTAACGTGCTTTAATTTTTATTTTTTAAAATAATGCATATTATTATATAACTAGCATATTTACAAATTTTAGTGCTTTCAAAAATTTAATCCTCCTCCTCTCAAATAAACGTACATCCAGGTGGCCTGTTTTTTGCAAAAAATAAAATTTCATTTTTTATGCTTAAAAAGTCAGAATTTTTATTTGCTTCTGGGATATATGATGGCTATATCAGATGCCCATTCTTTTTGATACTCAACATTAAACATAAAACTTAGCCGTTAAGGCTCTTCTGAAAATATTTTTTTTTCCGAAAAATTTTCGAAAAAAATCAAAAAATTTAAAAATCCCCGAATCTGCAGGGATTTTAAAAAATTCTTTTTAGTAAAACTTAAGGATATTGTATCAGATATATTGGTATGGGCAAATTCAATTTTAATCCAATATTCATCGAGATATTAAGTTAACGAAGCTTTCAAAATTGAGAGGGTAATCCTCCTCCTCTCAAATAAACGTACATGCGGGTGCACCCTTAAAATTTTTTTTAGCCAAAAATCAATGAAGTATTATGAGATTTTCATATTCACAAGAGTACCTCAACAGATATCGCTATGGATTTTGTTCACTTGCCTCTATCCGAAAATAATCTTTGGAAAAGAATGTTTTTTTTGATATAAAAATGTTTTAAAATTATTTAATTTGATTTAATCTGTAATAAACAGAAATTCATCAAAAGTGACAGCTCTCAATTTTTTGACATTTGTAAATTCTAAATTGAATGAGAAAAATGAAATAATACTAAGCATAATACAATATTCTAGATTTAATTATAATTAGGGAAAAGTTAGTTTTGAGAGTACTTTTCATAGGCATATAGAATGAAATCTTCTGAAAAATAATATCACATAAACTCATATTATTTTCTAATATATAACTATTTTATATAAAAATCAAATTCAATGATCTTAAAAGCGAAGGATAAACCTCAAAATTTACGAATATAATGAGTGGGAATATAATGCTTATCTATCATAAAACCATATGAAATATTAATTTTTGCTTTACCTTATAATTTTTTGACGACAATTAGCAAAAAATGTTAAATGTTAACACTCAGTCCATTTGAATATGAAAAATAAAATTGACTTTGATTAAATGTTTTTATTTATCATGCAATTCTTCTTGCGACCAAAGATTTGAATAAAATTTCAAAAAATAAGATAGCTTAAAAAATAATGTACGGTAGTGTTTACTAATAGATGAATAGTATATAAATTCTATTAAAATGGATTTGATCCAAAAAAATATATAAAATTTGATCATAAATAAAATCGTTTTAAATTACTTCTTCATTTAAATTATAACAATTATTTTTGATTTTATATGGGCTTCGTGGACTTCACCCTTGCCATACACCTTAATGTTGTCGCTTTCTGCATTCGCTAATGGAACCTTTCTTTTTCTTACGTATATTTTACCATCTTTACTCTGACTTACGTAATAGAAAGGATGTTGTATTCCTCTTGCGTCATTTAATATAATAGACTCTCGCTCTGATTTTGACAAGCTCATTTTACATCGGTTAAAGTTTTAATTTTGTTTTTTATCTGCAGTCAAATGACTCAGGCAAGCCCTACGGACAAGACCCAAGGGGTCATAGATGTTGAAGCATTGAAGAAAGAAATTCGTGAGCAAATTTTATCCGAACTGAAGGAACAAAAACAAGAACAAAAGCCAGAGAGACCAAAGAGAAAACTTAGTGAAAAACAACTTGCTGCATTAGCTGCTGGAAGACAGAAGAACCCACGTTTGCTGGCGAAGAAAGCTAGAGAAGAAGCTGAAGCAAAGAAAGAGTAAATGGTTTATTTTTATCCGAATTAAATGTATAGACAAATACCTTTATCTGTTGCGTTCAGTAGTGAAAACCCTGACGTCAAAATAAAGGGGAACAGAGTAACGTTTAAGTTTCCAACAGACTGGATTGTGAACATAAATGAAGAGAAGTACATTGGCATAACAAATATGTATATAACACGTGCTTTCAGAAAGGTTGACTTTATACTTCAAGTCGAGATAAAAAATGACGAACAGTCTTTAAGCGCCCAAAACATTCACATATACAAATACTTTAAAGACGATACAACGTTAGAAGACTGTATAATTACATTTTACGAAAATTTTCAAAAGAAGTTTAACATTGAAGTACAAACTTTACAGCCTTTACGTGAGTTTCTTGCACAACTGAAAGAAGAAGGAATTGTAGAAAGATTAACAGCTTTTCATTACGAGTTTGTACCAAATGAAGATGGAACACATGACTGTCAATTCATTGTATTCTCACCATTCAATGAAGTCGCTAAAAAGAAAGAAAATCCATTACGTATAAGATTTCAAATCTCTGAACCAAGTGATGATTTCAAGAATGTTTTCAATTATGATGCAATGCTTCCGAGGAAAAATGATTTTTCCGAAATTAGATTTCCAGGCATTTGGGATAGAAAGCAAGCTATATTATATTCAAACTTAAGTAAGGGAGTTGAAAATGAGTTCATTGGTCATACAAGAACTTCACCACTTCCTAACCCTAAATACTATAAATTAACTGGCTTCAATCGTGAGTTTTGGATAGACATGTTCTCCACTCATGACCATAACTGCCCAGTGTTCTTACCTCCAGACCATAAGGACTGTCTCTACATTGAAGCACAACTCTTAAACTCTACCATCGCAGTATTGTAAATGACCACATGGGCTTCGCCCTTGCCGCTAGCGGCTTATTTTTATCACGAATGACCTCATTGCTGACAAAAATAAATGACCTCAGAACTTCAACTTACGAATAAAGCTTGTTTTAGTCGTTATTGAGAAGTTAAACTTCTCTTCAAAGCAAGGTTGACATGACTTACATAAGTCAAATCCAATCTCTTGACCGTCATAAAGTGCTTTGTAAAGTTTCATTAAACTGAACTCAGAGTCTTTGTCATATGTTCCTTGCGGAACCATTAAACCTTTATCTTCATCATAGAAACACTGAACAGAGTCAGGAAACATTTCATTAGCGGTTAAAGCAATAACATCTTGCTTCACGCCTTTCATTCTGCAGTGAAATGCAACTTCATTTAAATCATTCGTGAGTAAGTCTATGTAAGTCTTCTTTCCACAAAATATTGACTTGTATGCTAAACTTTGTTTATCTTTTGTGATTTCTGCAAAGTCGCTATGAAATTGACCAAGGTTTTTACCAATGAGAACTCTTCCATAACGTTTCTCAAACTCTTCAGCTAAACGAGGGATATCTTCATTGTAGAGATGCATACTGTCCGTATCGCTATAAAAGATGTCCATTCCTAAGTCCTCAGCAGTACAGAATACTTCACACATTATTCTCTTCGACATAGACAGAATGTTAACACCAAGTGGACAGAAGTTAAAGTGTCTGCAAATGCTTTTCGTTAGCTTGAAAATAGTTTTATCTGAACCATCCAAACCTTCGAACTTCACTATATGGTTGTAGTTTCTGATGGCATATCTTATAGCATCTTTGTCATTTACTATGGTTATTTTTGACTCAATAGGAGATAGAATAGTTTTGCCATAAATACTGTTCAGAATGAGCTTTATATTTTCTTGCAAAGGATTTCCTTCTTTCTTATACTTTAACCTTAACTCAAACAACTTCTTTACTTCATCTCTTATTCTAATATCTCTGTTTCCATCGTAATAGTATCCTTGCAACACTTCACATTTGACACCTTGATATTTTATGAGGTCTTGTAATGTTATATGGTCAACATACATTAAACAGCAAGTGTTTGAACTTCTGGGAACGTTAAGTTCTGGATTTAGTTCAGGGTCACAAACTATTAAAGGAAAGTGTCTATGTATTCCAATCTCTGTTATCTTAATGAGAACAAAGAAGCCAGACATAAACTTTTCACCAATGGGTTCCTTTTGGTCGTCATCGAATAAATGTCTCATGAGATACTCTGTGCTTAACATTTCTTTCTTCATAACCTTTGGAATACCTTCTAAAGTATAAAGTCTTGCTATAGCTGATGGATATAATGAAACAGCGTCGAAATCAGCAATGAGTTTCTTTTCGCTCTTTTGTTTCATGTTATCTGACAGCATACATCTTCCACCTTGAATACAGCGTGAAATAAATTCTCTTGGTTTATTTGAGAGGTCATATAAATTTCCATTCGGGAAGTACACTCTGTTCTCAAACAATTTGTTAGCAATAGAACAAATACTAACGTAGTCATATACGTTTAAATCAAATTCTTTCAATATGTCATTGCGGAACTTAACAAAACCTTCTCTTAAAATTCTTACATCTTGTTTGCAATAAAATGTGCTATACTTTTCTAAGTCGAAGTGGTTCTCATCTATTCTGCAACCTTTGATGGAATCTATGTTTTTCATGAATGTATCTGCATCCCGGATAAACTTACATGCTTCAGAAATGACACCAGTTCTGTTGTCATTTGCTAACAAAACACTGCTGTAGTAGTTGTATGGAAATACTTCTTTCGGTCCTGTTTGTAAGTTAAACATAGCAGGAAATAGTTTAAGTTTCTTATTTATAACACTGTAAGAGTCTTTTATAATAATTGCCCTTCCTTTATATAAGCCAGTTATTTGCATTGTTCGTGAACCTTTAATGATGGGAGTTCCTTTCACTTCTGTCATGTGTCTTAAGATGAAGTTTATATCATAACTGAGGTTATGGAAATATATTAAACTCTTGTCAGGAAGTCGCTCCAAAAATTCTGTTGCACAGTTCTGACCCCAAATGCTTTCACTCACTGAACCATCTTCACTGTCGTAACATATGTTAAAAGCTTTATGAAAGCCATCGGTACTGCACTCAAAGTCAGCAAAGAAAACGTGCTCAGGAATGAACTTGCACTTATTTTTATTTACTTCTTTTGACTCGGCTTTCTTCTTCAGTTGTACACAATACTTTGGAGCATATGTCAAATCTTTAAATGGTGCAAGGTTCTGTTTATATAAGTCAGTCGTATATGTGAAAAGTTCTCCATAAGAAATAGGTTCGAAATATTTGCACTCCCACAATGTTTTCATAACATCCCATAACGGTGTTGTTCTATCATAACGAACTACATATTTATCTTCTCTCTTTGTATAAATCTTCATTTGTTTCTCAATGTTCTTTCCACCACACTCCTTCAAGATTTCTATATAGTTGCGAATGAAATATGTTGTCATTGGTAATCTTTCGTTTAGCATGTAGTGGTCTTCAACAAGAAGTAAGTCAATAGTTCGAACAGTTTCACATTCTTTTGGTATGTATCTCTTTATTTCATTATGTCTTGAGTCATTGAAGTAACCAATGGTAGTTAGTAAACATATCAAGGGTACGGCGGCACTGCGTTCCACCTTACCCATTATATGTGAATTTGACACTTTACAAAACCGTTAACGTATATTTTACAACACAAACGACAACACTAACTTAACCTTAAATATTTACAAAGCCGCCAACCACTTCACTAACGAACTCACTAATGTAAAAATAAACGTTCTCACTATCGTTCTCACTAACGACTTCACTAATGTTCTCATAAATTTTCCTCAATATCTTCATCATCAGTGTTAACCCTATTGTAGTCATACTTGAAGCCATAAACTTTCTCTAACTTCTTAACGTACAATTTACATAACTTACCTTCGTCATCATATGGTTTAATGATATAACTATTTCTATCTTTATACACAGTCAATGAAAAGTCAACTGGTCTCGGATGTATTTGAAAGAACATGTTATGCTCAGGAAGGAAGAATAAATGTTTAAATGTATGTTTGTTATATTTTTCGATTTGTATGAGTTGCTTTTGTTCTGTCATTTACATCCAAATAAAAAATAAAATAAAAAATAAACTTAAAAATTAATGATATCACCACCCTCACACGTATGAAAACATAGCACAAAAATAAATTTAGGTGAAGTGGTGAGATCTCACCTCTTTTTTCACCTGTTTTTTCACCCTGTTGAATTCATTGCTTTATAACTCTCTTCCTTTCTCCAACTCTTCTAACTTCTTCCTAAGTTCAGCAATGTTGTCCTCATGAAGTTTAATCTTCCTTAATATACCTTCTCTATCTAATGGTTGCTTTATCTTTCTAAACTGAACTCTACCATCCTTCATAGTATGAATGTAAAAACCTTCTAGAATAGTTCCTGATTTAATGTATTCTACCAAAAACTTTTGTTTCATTGCTTCAGTGACTTTAGTCGTCATTTCAATCAAATAAAAATTTTAATATTAAATAAAAATAACGTTATTTTTTCAGTAAGGAAACGCAGGAGTTTTACGATTTATTTGAGGAGTAGGTTCTGGTTTAAATGTTGGAGTCGGTTTAGGAGTTGACTTTTGAACAGGAGTTTGTACTTCCATAGGTTCAGGAGTCATTGAAGGTTTTGCTTGTGAAGGTGTTGGAGTTTGTTTAACTTCAGCTACTTCAGTATTATTTACAACATTTGCTTTATTTCTTTTCAACATCATAACTGCTCCTGCTGTAGCTAGCAAACCTAGTGGGAGACCATATCTTATATAAGGACTTGACCAAATGCTATTTTTGACAGGAGCTGGTGGAACACCTAACCTTGGTGAGACTGCTCTTTGCCATTGTGCAGCTCGTAAGAAATATTCAATAGGTGCTCCATAATCGTTTGGTAAAGTTTGTTTCACAGATGGTGAAGGTTCACGAGAGCTTGATGAAGAACTCATTTATAAGCTTTAAAAATAAACGTTCATCCTTTATTCCTCACCGTCGTCCGTAGCTAAGTTATAGTCATCTAATCTTATTATTGGGATTCCGGGAGAGAGATCTTTTTGTTTGTGTGTAACTCGAGTAAGAAACATCTTCTCTACTGATAGCTTCTGAGTAAATGTAAGTGTTTAACTCTCCTCAGTGAGTTCGCAAATTTTTTGTAATATTTGACTACAAAAACTTCTACGATACAAACTCTGTTAGTAGGGAAATAGAAAAAATATTTTTTGAAAAGAGTAAGTATAATAGAATTAGACCTGTTATATTTTCATCAATAATGTAAGTTAAATTATTTCCACAAATATTCATTACATATTTTTTATTTCTGAAATTTATCTTATTCATACTACTTCAATTATTATGGAAAAAAAACAACAATGGCAAGATTGCAATGAGTTTCTTTTCAATACACCATATCACAAATACTATGCTCTCTCCAATAAGAGTATAACAGCTCGAGACCTATGTAAGTTTATATTTGATAGATATTAAAATAATGCCTTTTCTAAATTGATGATTTTAAGTCTTTGTTTATTAAAACTTCATTATAATCAAGAAGGTTCTATAGTGAAGACAGTACATCCTATTAGGCTCTGTCCTTATTCAGTATAGGTTGCTTCCAGGATCAGAATGTGTTTTAAGATGAAACATTAGTAATTACAAGTTTCACTATTGTTGTGAGAGGGTCACCTAAAACAGAGACGCTCTAGTTCTGAAAAAGACATTAGTATTATCACTTTGGAACCGCTGTACACAAAAAGTTAGCAGTCGTTTTGAAACAAAGAGTTTTTCTTTCGTGAATTCGGTCAAGATTCATACATATATTACCTGTCATAGTTTATTATAATGAAGAACTCATCTAACTCACGTGAGAGAGATCGCAGTAAAATTTCTTCAAGAATAACGAATAAGTTAAGAATATCAGGGATTTGCTTTAAATCTTTCGAAAACAGAAAGAATATAAGAAAGGGAAACATCTGTGAAATATTATCCTTCATCTCTGAAGACACATATACGAAACAAAGATGTTATATCAAGAATTCTTACACAGTTGAAGAAGCTTCTATTGACATTGACGAAGGAAGTGAAATGTTGAAGAAATAGACCCTGAAGCTATTAACGCAAATATATATTTTTGAATAACTGATGTGTAACTACGTCACCATGTCACCAGGTCAATTAACTTCTTTTAAAAATGATGACAACATGACATTTTGACAACACAGCAGGATTATAGCAAAAATGAATGTTATCGTTTATTTATCGTTAATGTTATCGTTTATGTTATCGTTAATGCTTATCGTTAATGTTATCAGTGTCGAACATAATTGACATGGAGCATTTATGTTATCGTTTATGTTATCGTTAATGTTATCGTTAATGTTATCGTTAATGTTATCAGTGTCGAACATAATTGGCATGGAGCATTTATGTTATCGTTTATGTTTCGTTAATGTTATCGTTAATGTTATCGTTAATGTTATCAGTGTCGAACATAATTGACGTAGGATTCATGACTTCTTCATAAATGAGTGTAAATATAGCACAAAAATATATTTTAGGTGAAGAGGTGAGACTCCCCGTTTTTTCACCTCTTTTTCACCTCATTCTCTTTCGTTAATGTTGTCGTGACTTCTTCGTTAATGTTGCCGTGACTTCATTCTTCCTCTTTGAAGTTATCGAAATATTCTGTTATTTTTCTTCAGTAATGTTAAGTCTTCTTTGAATTAAGTATTGTGCAACCTTGATGTCATAGTGTGTTTGAGAGAGTATTTTTGACATTTCCTTATATTTGCTCATTCGGTGTCATTGAATCGGTAAGTTTTCACGATAGAACCAGTTTCTGTCAGATTTAATATTTTAGCTAAGTCATAAAAGCTCTTGTTGTTCTTCTGACTAAATGCAACATAACCATATCTTTATCTTCTTCTTTCTCCAATTCTTCAGTATATATCATATACCTATACTTTTCCTTTCTTTTGGTACTGAACGCGGTACTTCTTTTCTGTATGCTTTTGTCTTTGGATTCAATGACTTCATCTTTTGCTGAAGTTTCTTTTCCATCTCTCACGTTCTGCTTTATATAGTTCATCTAACATCATGAAAATATAACAAGCATAACGAGGTGAACCCACATTGCTACAGCGTTTACTAAAATCTATGAACATAATAACTTTTCAAACCAGGAGCCAATTCTTGCGATTTTCGTACGGAATCTCTTCTCTCGGTTTTCCGAGGAAGCAATCATATGAGAGAAATTCTTTAAAATGTTCTTTTGTCTGTTGGTTTCAAAACCAATGATATGCTTGCTTTGTAGAAACAAGAGCATTCATTATACTTTGCATTTGTACATTCATCTTTAACTGAACGAATGAGTCTCAATGTTTGTTATATACTGTATGTATTCGTATTCTTCATTTATGGCTTCATGAACGATAGCAGTTGTTGTGTTCTCTTGATGTTGACATTATGTCTTTACATACAAGATAAAAAAATAAATAAAAATAAAACTAACTTTATTTTTCTGACTTTCACAAAAGACAAAAATAAACGCTTTACATGTATTTTTCAGCAACTTCGTCAATATTTTTTATAGCTTTATCTATCTCATCTACTTCAAACGTTTCTTTACCTTTCGTGGAGACCACATACATTTTCTCAAAAACTTCAAGCAATTCTGTTTCAGCAGCTCTCATATCATTAACGAACACAAACCTTTGACTCTATTGACTGTACTGTATATCTTTGGTTATATTATATGTCCTTCTATCTTATATCTTTTTGTGTTGAAGTCCTTCGTTTCTGAACGATGTAAGTAAGCCTTCACTGCAACGTTCCGTATCGAATGAACCATATGTTATGAAGTTATATCCAACAACTGGGTCTAACCATACAAAACTATTGGTATAAGACTTTTGTCTATAAGTATGTCTTGTTCCATAGAATCTACCGATATCATGAGCCTCAGGATTTCTTGTCAAAATTTTCTGAGTAGAAGCAATTCTAAACCCAGTCCTTGTTTTCTTTCCAGAAGTGTTTATATGTCTGACAAAGAATATTTGTTGTATTTCTTACAGTATCTTACGTTTAAATCACCAATTCTAACCACTTTGGTGTCATCGTCTATCTTTCTAACTGTTTCAAACTCAATGTTTGTCATTACTGTCTTTACATACAAGATAAAAAAATAAATAAAAAATAAAACTAACTTTATTTTATCTTTTATGAAAATTCATGAAATTTGGTCATTTTTCAGCAAAAATAATGTTGAGGTGAAGAGGTGAGATCTCACCCGTTTTCTCACCTGTTTTCTCACCTGTTTTTCACAAGCGTTTCACATGAATTGTACGATGTATATTTGAAATCCTAAACAATTTCGTAGCTTCTATTTCTTCTTTTAGTACATCGAATGTTTAACGATACCGAAAGTTTCTTTATACTTCTTCTTGACGTCAGACAGAAGAAATCTTTCTGCTGTTGAATAGTTTTTATTAAGAAATGTCAACATATCCATTTTATCTTCTGCTGGCTTTTCTGCTTCTTTCTTTAAGTCTGCATAGTCGTTTCGCATTCTTTCTATCTCTTTGACTGAGTAGTTATATTTCCTCATTGCT